TTTCTTTCACGATAGAGATCAATAATAATTTTGTCAAAGATATTTATATAAATTATTATATAATAATTATAAAATAATTCGTATTTATAGAAATAATTAGAACCGTATATTGGAAATCATAATCTCAACACCTGTATCAACTGAAAAGATACTAAGTTAGAATATTCATAATATTATAATAACAATAATCTAAGAACATATCATGTGAGGGATGGTTCAATTTCTGTGATTGCCTGGCGGGTAGCAGGTGTAATGAAGTAAAATTGATTAAATTCGTTATACCAAAACCCTGCTCGTGGGTGAAAACGATCGTACCATGTTTGCCTCGTGATATCAAACTACTATTTAATATATTAGCGATTGGTCGATCGAGTAACTTCATCGCATGAAAGACCAGTTTCATGTTCCGCTACGTGTGTCTGCTATCTAGTCTAGCATTTAGCCCCTGATCCCCTAATATCTCGAAGATCTTAAACGTCAAAAAGCGTAAAAAGATAATTTCCTTTCGAATTTCGAAGCTCTTCCTGAGTTCCCAAATGGATTATTCTAAACATCCCGATCGTGTAATTTATCGATTAATGTTATTTACTTGATTGGTATCGTGGTAGGTCTTATTTCTGAGTCAAATCTTGGGTATCAATTACTGGTTTTCATAATAATATTCTAAGTTATTGGCTTGCGAATAATTGCAACCACAAAGAACTTTTTCATTAGTATACTGATCCCCAAAGTATCCAATTATTGAACATTTCATAATCATAATCAATTTTTCACTAAAATGGTTGACATATATATTCGATTTTATTTTCCAATTATTAACCCTTTGCACTCGAGAGGTGCCTTTCAGTCGCCATTTGATAATTATAATATCTCGAAAACTATCAAGCAGTTGCCCTTATAAGGATATATTTTCTTGAACTGAACGACTAATCTACAAATCTGCAAAGTTTCAGTTAAATCTACGATCCAAAGGACTTGCACTCTCCTTGTAAGTCTGAGAAATATAGTGAACCCGACAGAATTTTTCAGCCTAGTTTCGCGATTTTCTGACGAGTCATCATGCGATGCTGAGCACGTGACATGGCATTATCATGGTAAAGTACGATTTGCTTGCTTGACCACCTAACGAAGCAATATATTTTCATCCAAAATTAAATATCCATTTTTGAAAAATATACAAAATACAATTTTAAACTATTCTCCCGTAAAATGCTTCAAAAAATTCTCCAATATTTCTCGTTTAACGTTTATACATCGTTAAACTGATTTTTCTAGGTACCAGTAAGTGTCGATAAAAGCTTCGAAGATTTCGACCCAAGTCGAGATCGATAATCGAATCGACGAGTTTGTAAATTGCATTCGAGAGTGCAGGAAGTGTCACGCGGCCATTTTTTAACCACTTTCGCTGTAAAGACGTGCCACGCACGTCGAAATGCTTTTGTTCCAAAACCGTCAGCGACGTGTATACCACGTCGATAGGCATTTGTCGCAGAAACTAAAACGACGTGTCAGTCACGTCGGCTAACAGTTAGTCCCCAGACGAGGTGCGCCTTCAATGTAACGCCTTATCGCATATTATATTGTAGAGCGCAGCACGGCAACCGAAATTTAACCCTTTGCACTCGAATGACGCCTCTCAGTCACCATTTAATCAAATTCTGAAGGTGGATATTAATTAATATATGAAATTTACAATTACCCAACGATGCGTGGAATACCGAAGTAAAATAATTCTACGTCTTAATTTGCATACGATTTTTTATTTACCGTGTTAGAAATATCGTCGAATTTATGGCAGAAAGTAAAATAATTCTACGTCTTTATTTTCATACGATTTTTTATTTACCGTGTTAGAAATATCGTCGAATTTATGACAGAAAGTCTTCGAATTACTAATTTCCTGTAACGAAAAAGTCACCGAGTGCAAAGAGTTAAATCGTAGCGCAAGTGGTTAAGGATCAATAGAAATCAGAAATGAAAAATAACGCGAATAACTTGAACAAACGACCCGAAGTCGCGACTAATCGAATTAATTCGGGGCGAACGATCAGAAGGAATCACGAGCCGAAATTCGCGCAAAGCATTCTGCATTTGAATAATTGCTTTCTCGCTCCAAGTATTACCAACTGCGAATTCTGTTTATTCGTCGGCCGAAGTAGTTTATTGCTCGTGAACTAGCTGCAAGAGACATCAAGTCGGCTTGCATAGCGAGTATGGGCACTTTGTTACTTAAAATATGCGTTCGAGCTGACGTCCAGACGCGTTAAACGCGACTTCGCTGCTTGCACGCCCGATAAAAGACAAAACTTCGTGCGAGAAACTTTGTTGGGAAATTTCTGAAACGATGTAACAGCGTAACTTCGACATCGTTCGACAAACACAATTACAATCACACAAAATTAATTTTTCGGACGACCACGGAAAAAGAAAATAAAATGTATCGTTATTTCAGAGAAATTCGACCGATTGGGATATCATTTTTCACCTACTTGTTATAAAGGTATTTATAAATTTAACAAAGGAATTTTTCAAATAACTTGAATTTCATAGGGATTAATTTTAAACGAAATTGAAATCGTGCTGTGCAGATAGTTATATACGTAGGATAGAATTACGCGCTGCAAATGCTACTAAAAATTTCGCGAATACGTCAGTAATTATGGAGATGGTTGAAATAAAAAGCCTAAAGGAAAGGGGCAAACGAATTTATTACTTCTTCTGTATTGCATTCGTTTACGTTATGATATCATAAAAATAATTCCTGCAAAGTAGCAAAAAATTAAATGGAGTTTGTACCAGTGTCCTAATTAAATTTTTAATTCATTCAAACGCGAATTTTCGTATCACGGAACGAAATATACGTCCTAACTTATTTTCATAGCCATTTTAATAAAGAAACATAAAAATATTATTTTATATCTTCTCATTAATATTTTTTAACCGTTCAGTAATAAATTCGGTATTTAATTAGCTAACGTTTAACCAAATTCAAATTCTTGCTGAATCTTTGATGTAGCTTTAACACTTTGCACTCGGCCAATTTTTGGTAACAGAAAAATAGCAATTCGAAAACTTTCCGGCATAAAGTCGAGGATATTTTTGAAAGAGTAAATAAGAAATCGTATAAAAATTAAGAAGTAAATAGAATTATTTTTCTTCGACATTCCAGGCGTCGTATCGTAATTTTAAATTCGATATATTAATTAATATCGATTTTTACAATTCGATTATATGGCGACTGAGGGTCGCCCCTCTAGAGTGCAAAGGGTTAATCTATTTTATTCTGAAATTATCGTCAATTTCTGCAATTTAGTCAGTTTACATGTGTTATTCGCAAATGTTCGATACATCTTCCCTGGTTGTCACTTTATCAGCGAATTACGTCTTTAGGAATAACAAGGTCGTTTCTCTGAAAGTTTCGTACCCTAGAAGAGACACTCGTGTCGTTAACGAAGAGAATAAAAGACAGCGTATTGGTGTTTCCGCGTTAATTTTGCAACAGCAGTCGCTCGCAAGCTCTCCAAAAGTACTCACGTTCTCTTGTACTTTCGTCTCGAACATCTCGAATCTGTCGTTACTCTCGTTCAGGTACTCGGTCCCGTTCTGCCAGGTGATGTTCGCGGCAGGTCTGGCTGCTCGCACGGTGCACTGAAGCAAGATCTTCGTCCCCTGCACCACGTGGCCCACCACCCCGCTTAGATTCATTTCCAATGGCCGGACTGCAAAAGACGTCTTGCTTAAATATTTAACACACACTTTTGCAGAAAGCTAAAGCTCGGGAAAAATATTTCACAGCGTTTTGTATAAATATAAGGGGGGAACATTTCGAGGCTTTTAAGGGTATTAAATTGGAAGGTACCCGAGTATCTTGGATCTCCGAATTCTTTAAGTTTCGAATTAGCGAAGTTGCAAATTTTTATTTAAATTACAGGTCTTCCAAATTTATAAATTTACAAATTTTAAAAATTCTTGAATTTTCGAATTTTCTAATACTTAGATTTCTGTATTTCGAAACTCTGGCGTTTCCGCATTTTTCACATGCGAAAATATCCGAATTTTGGGATTAAAAGATATTCGAATTTTCGAATATTAGAAGTCTCAAATTTTGAGTCAAGGATTTTTCAATAAAGCGATATTTGAAAGTGGAATATTCAGGATTTTTACATTTATTTTCGAATCTTGGAGTTCCAAACATGTAAATTTCTGATTTTTCAGATTTCCAAAATTCCGAATTTTTGAATTTTCGAATTTTCAAATGCCTAAGTTTCTGAATTTCGAAACTCCTTCCTTTCCAAATTTTCAAATACCTAAGTTTCTGAATTTCGAAACCCCTTCGTTTCCTATTTATCAAATGCGAAAATATCCGAATTTTGGGATTAAAAGACTTCCAAATTTTCGAATATTAAAAGTCCCAAATCTCAAGTCAAGAATTTTTGAATATCCCGACATTCGAAAAGTAGAAAATTTAGGATTTCTACATGTATCTTCGAATCCTAAACTTTTACAATTTTTAATCTACAAATCCTGAAATTTCTCAATTTTTAATCTACGAATCCTGGAATTTCCCCACTTTTAATCTACAAATCCTGTAATTTCTCAATTTTTAATCTACGAATCCTGGAATTTCCCCACTTTTAATCTACGAATCTTCGAATTCCCAAATTTCCTATCTCTTCAAACAATCCGTAATAACTTTCACTATATCTCTCCACTCAGTCATTCACCAAATCCTCGAGTCTCGGAGCCTCGTACCCCATTTGTCGCAAAGTAACGTCGCTCGATCTGCGAAATGACATAAATTTCAGGGACAGTAGCGTTCTACAACGTTATACGCAAAAGGGCGATGCAAACCCCGGCGAGAATAAACGATAATAATCATCGACGAGTAACGTATTATTCGGAAAATCCAATTATCCTGTTACGTCGACCCGACAGTAATGCAACCTTTACCTCTACGCCCTTTTTCATATAACGCGAACGCGAGTCCGCAACACTGATTCATGACACGTTCTCTATGCTTGTTACGTGCCGGTGTACGCAACACGTGTACACGTGTACACACGGAGATACAGTGTCAGCCTGAGCTGTCTAGTATAGACGATCTAATGCAATATCCAAGCTGAGCCGCTGCCTGCATCTTGCATCTTCTATAAGAATAATATAAAGGTGCTGCAAGCTGCAAGGTGAGACAGCTGTAAGGCAGCAGGGGTGGGGCTAAGATTGAGAAGCTCGGGGGTTGAATAAAGAGGAAAATCAGAAAGTCAAGTTGCATCAAGAAATTCGAAGGAATCCCTGCCGTCTCACGGAGATTTTCCTTCCCTTTGCCAGACCTCGTTCCTTCCGTCAGCCTCTGTTTTCCCCGAAAAATATTACGCCCCGAATTTTCTCCTCCGCTTATTTCGGTTAATCTCTCGCGTTTTTACTCGGGCATTCGTTTCTAACGATTCCAGGGTAAATAGGATTTGAAGACGAGGAAAACTATAAGAATCGTGACAGTTTTTCTGCGACACGATATTCTTGAAAAATATTTTTCACATCAGCACGGTTTCCTAAAGCTGGAATTTTCAATACCCTGTATCATATTTTATTTGGGGAGAAAGCAGAATAAATTTTGATACCACTTTTATTTATCGTATGGACACTTACAATTATTAAAAACACTCGGAATAATTATTCGAGTTTATATTACTTCTGTGTTTACATATTTCTACGAATTTATATAAACAGCGAAATTTATTTTCGAAAATATCAATTTTAATACCGGTTTATTCGAAAAGGGTGACAGTGATATTTCTGATATTTTATTTTTACGAGAGTCGAATTTTAGAATTAGCAAATACGTGTTGGATGATCGCGTGGAACTCGACGGTGTTCGTTAAACCTTGGAATGTCGTGCCGGTATTTCATTCGGCCCTTTGTTTAGAACAGACCCAGAAGACCGTTAGGGTCTTCTGGCAGCCAGATTCTAATTGCCGTTTTAGTTCAAGTTCCGTGTCCTTTCTATCTTCATTTTCAATGCATTTTCAAACAATTCTTTATTTCCCTCGGGTCACCGGACACGAGGCATTCTTTAGCTATTAATGTTAGAAAGCAGGCAACAGCACTTAGGATTTGGCTGGCAATAGGCCCGCAAAGAAAGGGACCAGGCCATGTGCGATGTCGCGACTTTCGGAGCCATAAAGTAACGGGTCCTTCAGGAAGGATCACGAATGTGCGGGTGACCCACCAGCAACCCCCTTTGAGGGAGAGGCTTCCTCCACCGGCAGACCTGGTCGCGGAAGACGGTCCTCCCTTCTTTGGGGGCATCTGATTCGCGGACCGAGGGCCCACCCTCGGTCCTGTCAACCACCAATGGGAAAACCGATTTCCCTTTGGAAACCATGGGCTCCGAAAGATCGTGCATCGCACAAGTTAGTTAGGTCAGTACCAGTCAGTCAGCAAATAACATTCGAAGAGTTCAGAAGAGTTA